CACGTTTCGCTTGCCAACCCACACACACATACACAAAGACAAAGACTCCCATAAACACCCACCTCCACCCACAAGCAAAGCCACACGATATACAAAGACACACGCAAGACACGACAATCTCTTCACCTCATCCCATCAACCTTGATCGCCTCCAAGAGCCCGTGTTGGCGTGTTTCGATCACACACGCACGCACAAAAACACAGGCGGGCCTGATTGCTTGTGACGCCGACCTTGCGGTGCCAACCAACTCAAACGCGTTGTCGATAATTATCCCCCTCTTCTCATTGACACTTATCCTCAGTGGTGGCAGATCGTTGTCATCGATTGACGTTCAGTCAGCGTCACGACAGCCACCGCCACCGCGCAACATCAGCACTTTCAGCACCTGAGCCAAGTACCGACACCTTCCATCATCATCACCACCAAGAAAGCAGCCCCAGCGAGGGTCTTTTCATCCCATCTGAAGGTGTAAACGAGCAATCCAGAACAGCAACACCAACCAGCATACAGCACGGGGCACACGCGCCTGCTTGTCCACACACAACAGCAGCACCATGGCTGACCTTGCGTCATCCAAGCCACGCCGGCTGCGTCTCTGCTGCACAATCATCAGCGCCCTCGTTCTGATGATGCTCTTGTGCAACACAAGACCCACATATGCAAATCACCACCACGACGACGACGACGATGACAGCGGCAGTAACGACGGCGTTGAGCTGTGCTACCAAGTTGCCTGGGGCGTTGGCAGCACGTACCGGCGGCACGTCGTTCGCCCTGTCTCTGCTTTTCCCGCACAACACGCCCTGGTCACAGAGCAGTACTGCGGCGGCAAGCAAGAAGGTCAGCCACGCATGCGTGTGAGTGTGTGTGCATGTGTGCATGTGTGTATATGTGTGTGTGTGTGTTCGCGCTTGTTTGCGTGTGTGCCTGTCTCTATCTCTATCTCTCTCTGCCGCTCACATTCCGCTCTCCCACTCCCCCTTCTCTCTTGCTTGCTGCATCGTCTTCTTCAACAATGCGCTCCAACCTGCAGGCGATCCAATTCCACACGATGCCCGATGGAGTGTGTATGGCATTCCATGGGAGGCGTGGTGCAGCCACGTGTCTGGCGGCGAAGCGTTCTACGTAAGCCAGAATCACCCCACCATGAACTGATAACGGCTTCCGTGCAAGTTGAAACAAAGCGCACGAGGCACTTGCCCTTGAACTCTTGACCTATCCCATCCTTCCGTCTCTCACATGCGATTGGCTGCACCCGTCACCCCTTTATTGCCTACTTGCTCCACAGGCGTACAATGCACCTTACAGCGACTCGAGCAACACTGGCTTTGAACAACCTGTGCGTGAGCTCGTGCATGCACGCTTGTGTGTGTGTGTGTGTGTTTATGTTTGTGTGTGTGTGTGTGTGTTTGTTTGTTTGTTTGTGCATGGGCATGTGCTGAACGCGTTGCTGCCAGTGCGTGCTTGTGTTTGTGCACGCAAACACTTTCGGCACTCATTCGTTCGCTCAACATCCTGAAATCCGCCCGCTCACCACCTTAAACAGAACACGGACTTGCTCTACTTTGTTGTGGACGATGCTGGCGAGGTCTCGTTCGTTGTCGTTCACGACAAGGCCGGCGATGGATCTGGCGGCCAAATCAACATCGAACTCGATGCCCCAGGTAACACAGCCATCTGTTTGCTTGCATGCAAGAGAGTGCGCACGAACTTGTGTGCATGAGCCTGAGTGCTTGAACTTGGGTGCTTGGACGTGTGCATGGCAGTACACGCATCGTTGTCCTCGCAGGTGTCTCAAAACACCACTCAACAAACGCTCACGTGAAGGTTTCCTTGCACCCCACGCTGTTGCCTGTGACAGATCTCATTGGCACGGGCGTGGACCTCGTGCTCCGAGATGATCCAGGACGATACAGGGACCGAAGCACCTGCGAGCGATCAACGGTAAGAGGAACATGATCATCTTTTCTGCTCTGCTCTGGCCTGCTTTGATGTGTCTTGTCACAACCCAAACACTGCCGCAGTCGCACGCCGCGACCAACTGCCTTCCCCCAATGGCGCGTATGCTCAACCCTGACTCACACATCCAACCAAACATCATCATGCCTGTCACATCGTCACATCATCACACCAAACGCCACCATCACCTCGTCTCCTGCAGAGCACATCCGATTGCTACACCTTCGATCCAAACACCATGACCGGCTACTTCAACCAAATCTGGGTTAGGGCCTCCAAATGGATGCGTGTCAAGTGTGCTGCTGAAATGGGTGCTTGTTGATTGTATGCTCGCGCACTTCTTCAAAATAACAAGTGCTGTTGAGCAACGACGTACGCTCGCACTCATAGAATCAACCTCACCTGCACACTCCGACTGTTCCATCAACACGAATGCATGCAACACTTCCAGGCGTCGTGCTGCACGGATGGTTTCGTGCTTGGCAAGCTCCCACGCTCCAACTGGCGGTTCAACTTCAAGTATGACGTCGTTGACCACATCTACAACTTCCGCGTCGGCAACTTCAACCCAGACACGTTTGACATGTCCTTCCTGGACTTGGACGCCGCAGAGGTGCTGGCAAACGGCGTGGAGGTCTCCGCCTTCACCTGCAACGACTACTGCAGGGACAAGGTGCTTGATTGCCCCGTCGTGCACATGGAGGCATGCATGCATGCGTGATTTGTTGTTGTTGTTGTTGTTGTTGTTGTTGTTGTTGTGGTGCGTGTGTGTGCTTGTGGATGTGTGCGTGTGTGTTTGTGTGTGTATGCTTATGCGTGCGTGCGTGCGTGCGTGCGTGCGTTTGTGTGTCTGCTGCATATGTGTGTATGTTTTTGCCTAGACTTGTGCACATGTTTCTGCATGGTTCCATGTCCAGGCTTCCACCTGTGTGAGGCCGTTGCTGTGAGGCCGTTGCTCCTTCTTTGCTCACCACACCAACTTGTGTGCACATGATGTTTTGGTTGCGACATGCACAGTCATGTGGAGAATGCTTTCTCGACCCCCAGTGCGGCTGGTGTGACACTTCCGGCTGTCTCGCCCGCTCAGAAGAGGTGCGCGCGCCTGCATGTTGTTGGATGTGTGTGTGTGTGTGTGTGTGTGTGTGTGTGTGTGTGTGTGTGTGTGTGTGTGTGTGTGTGTGAGGATGTACGTGTATGTGAGTAGGCGTTGGTGGCCACATGCTTGTGCTCTCTATGTCATGTATGTACCCCCACCCTTCATTCAACTTCCTTGCTCACACCACCACATACACACACACACAACACACACACACGCATAACTGCAACACAGCCGACGTGCGCAGGCAACTGGCTGGAGGATGCGTGCTGCCCATCGTGCGCCGCCCACACAGACTGCCAGGCCTGCCTCAATGCAGACGGGTGCGGCTGGAGCTTCAGCCTCGGCCGCTGCCTCTCCGGCACAACCGTCCTCGGCCTGTGCGAGGCGTCTGAGTTCTACCAAATCCCATCGCCAGGCAACACCATCTGCCGCGTTCTCCCGGGACCCGTCATCTCACCAAACACACCCGCCACCGTGCCCAGCGCTTACAACAGGTGCGGCACACACACGCGCTAGTTGTGAGCTCGTGTTTACACACACAGGCATGCACATTGCGTATGCTTCGTTTTGATTCAATGCGCCTTCTCGCTTCCACCGTCACACTCACTCACAACATTACACTTGCCCCGTCTCTGCGCACAGCCCAATCCTGGACTGGTGCAGCGGTAACGGCGACTATGTGTGGGGCGTATCCACAACATGCGACTGCCACGAAGGATGGGCAGGCGATGACTGCAGCATCCAGGTGAGAATGCCCGTGTTTCCTCTCCTATACGCACGCACAAACACACACAGTCACTTACCACGTGTCTGCTTGTGTGTTCGACTGCAACCACCACCATGCTCATTTACGCATGTGCTCTCCTGCTGACTTTGTGGCCCATCCCTACACCCCCCACACACCTCACAAACCCACAAACTCACACACTGACAACCTGACATCCCCCCGTCTTCCTTTCTGTAGTGCCCGCGCGACACAAACGGGCAGGTGTGCGGCGGCCACGGCACATGCGACCAGGGCGGGTTCTGCCTGTGCGAGTGCGGCTGGGGCGGTCCTGACGGCGACTGCAGCCAGGAGATCCAGTGCGACTGCGAAGTTGTCAACAACGTCAACACGTGCTTCATCAACGAAGAGGACAACTGCCCCGTGCGCTGCGGCGTTGTGGCCACGGCAACGGACACATGCACGGGTGTGGACGTCGACTTCCACTCCCAGGGCACAGACCGCCGGGTCAACGGCTCCGAGTGCGTGTGTGCCGAAGGTTGGTGGGGCGAGTCCTGCGACAACGCCTGCCCTGGCATCGACCCTGTCACGGGCGAGGGCGAAGTGTGCGATGGCAACGGCGTCTGTGACGTCAACACGGGCCAGTGCACGTGCGCCCCTTGCTTTGCGCCAGACAAGTACGGCAACTGCCAGCCCAAGCGCTGCCCAAGCTGCAACGGCGGTGGCCGCTGCGAGTGCGATGCCGACACGGGCGAGCGCGTGTGCCGGTGCCCCGGCCAGCGCTACGGAACCCTCTGCGAACTCTGCGCCTGCGAGGTAATATTATCAAAACACAGTGCAACCCACCTTGCTTCTCTTGCCCTCTCTCCTGTTTGTTGCTGTGTTTGTGTGAGATGCACATCGACGGTGGTTTGTATCGTGTGGCTCAAAATGCACCTGTACTCACACAACGCGAAACATACACACACGCACAATACTGCAGAACGGCGATTGCAACGCACTGACGGGCCAATGTGACTGCGATGAAGGCTGGAGTGGCGAGTTGTGCACTTTCCAGTGCTCGCGCGAATCCAAGTGCCACGGCCACGGCACATGCGACCAAGACACAGGTACTGCCAGCATCATGCACACACACGCACACAAGCACACTTGCCTTTGGAGTACAGTTGTGTCTGTTGGCGTGTGAGAGGCATGCAGACCTGTTAACCAACACCGCGTCTGTTGAACCAACCTCACATCTTACCATCGTCTTTGCTTCATTCGGTGTACACAGGAAACTGCGTTTGCGACACGGACTACATTGGCTCGGCGTCGCACCAGTGCGAGTTCTACTGCCCGGCATCAAAGTGCAACGGGCACGGCTTCTGTGACGGTGACACGGGCGAGTGCGTGTGCCAAAATGGGTACATTGGAGACTCGTGCCAGGCCGCGTGCGACCTCGACGTGTGCCAGAACGGCGGCACGTGCACGATGGATGAGACAGCGGACCGCGGGTACACATGCGACTGCCCATCGGTAAGAAAGCACCGGAAGAGCGGGAAGGGAAGAATGCATTGTGCCTTCTGCGTGGAATAAGAGCGAATCAAAGCGTTGTTGTGCTGGTGTAAGGGTCACGTGCAACAAGAAAGAACACAATATGTTGTGCCTTCATGATGCTGACTAACAGTGCTTTCCACAACATTCAATATTTCGCAGGGCTTTACCGGGTACACGTGTGACCGTGACATCGACGAGTGCCGGAGCAGCGACAGCAACGGGTGCGACGAGGCGCACGGGGTGTGCAGCAACACGGCCGGGTCGTACCAGTGCAGCTGCGAGAGCGGGTGGCAGCTTGCGTCCAACGGGCGCGACTGCGAGGACGTGAACGAGTGCGCGGATGAGGCGGACAACGAGTGCGACGCGCTTGTTGGCTCGTGCGCGAACACGATTGGGTCGTACACGTGCAGCTGCGATGCCGGGTATGAGCTGGGCAGCGACGGGCACACGTGCGAGGACGTGGACGAGTGCGCGAGCGACGAGGACAACCTGTGCAACACGGACGTTGGGACGTGCACGAACACGGTTGGGTCGTACGAGTGCGGGTGCGGTGCCGGGTACGAGCTTGGCAGCAACGGGTACAGCTGCCTGGACGTGAACGAGTGCAGCGCTGCGGAGCTGAACGAGTGCGACGCGAACGCGGTGTGCACCAACACGGCTGGGTCGTACGCTTGCAGCTGCGCGAGCGGGTACACGGGCGACGGGTTCACGTGCGCTGACCGGGACGAGTGTGCCGGGGACAGCAACCCGTGCGACGAGAACGCGTCGTGCACCAACACGGCGGGCAGCTTCACGTGCCAGTGCCGGTCTGGCTGGCAGGGCGACGGCGCGACGTGCGCTGACGTTGACGAGTGCACGACGGAGGACGCGTCGCTGGCGCACCAGTGCGACGCTGCGCACGGGACGTGCGTGAACACCGCTGGGTCGTACGAGTGCACGTGCGAGAGCGGGTTTGAGCTTGCGTCTGACGGGCTGAGCTGCGTGGACGTTGACGAGTGCGCTGAGAACGGCGGGGTTGGCCCGTGCGACGGCAGCCACGGGGTGTGCAGCAACACGATTGGCTCTTACGAGTGCGGGTGCGACGCCGGGTATGCGCTTGGCGCTGACGCGCACGCGTGCGAGGACGTGAACGAGTGCCGGAGCAGCGACAGCAACGGGTGCGACGAGGCGCACGGGGTGTGCAGCAACACGGCCGGGTCGTACCAGTGCAGCTGCGAGAGCGGGTGGCAGCTTGCGTCCAACGGGCGCGACTGCGAGGACGTGAACGAGTGCGCGGATGAGGCGGACAACGAGTGCGACGCGCTTGTTGGCTCGTGCGCGAACACGATTGGGTCGTACACGTGCAGCTGCGATGCCGGGTATGAGCTGGGCAGCGACGGGCACACGTGCGAGGACGTGGACGAGTGCGCGAGCGACGAGGACAACCTGTGCAACACGGACGTTGGGACGTGCACGAACACGGTTGGGTCGTACGAGTGCGGGTGCGGTGCCGGGTACGAGCTTGGCAGCAACGGGTACAGCTGCCTGGACGTGAACGAGTGCAGCGCTGCGGAGCTGAACGAGTGCGACGCGAACGCGGTGTGCACCAACACGGCTGGGTCGTACGCTTGCAGCTGCGCGAGCGGGTACACGGGCGACGGGTTCACGTGCGCTGACCGGGACGAGTGTGCCGGGGACAGCAACCCGTGCGACGAGAACGCGTCGTGCACCAACACGGCGGGCAGCTTCACGTGCCAGTGCCGGTCTGGCTGGCAGGGCGACGGCGCGACGTGCGCTGACGTTGACGAGTGCACGACGGAGGACGCGTCGCTGGCGCACCAGTGCGACGCTGCGCACGGGACGTGCGTGAACACCGCTGGGTCGTACGAGTGCACGTGCGAGAGCGGGTTTGAGCTTGCGTCTGACGGGCTGAGCTGCGTGGACGTTGACGAGTGCGCTGAGAACGGCGGGGTTGGCCCGTGCGACGGCAGCCACGGGGTGTGCAGCAACACGATTGGCTCTTACGAGTGCGGGTGCGACGCCGGGTATGCGCTTGGCGCTGACGCGCACGCGTGCGAGGACGTGAACGAGTGCCGGAGCAGCGACAGCAACGGGTGCGACGAGGCGCACGGGGTGTGCAGCAACACGGCCGGGTCGTACCAGTGCAGCTGCGAGAGCGGGTGGCAGCTTGCGTCCAACGGGCGCGACTGCGAGGACGTGAACGAGTGCGCGGATGAGGCGGACAACGAGTGCGACGCGCTTGTTGGCTCGTGCGCGAACACGATTGGGTCGTACACGTGCAGCTGCGATGCCGGGTATGAGCTGGGCAGCGACGGGCACACGTGCGAGGACGTGGACGAGTGCGCGAGCGACGAGGACAACCTGTGCAACACGGACGTTGGGACGTGCACGAACACGGTTGGGTCGTACGAGTGCGGGTGCGGTGCCGGGTACGAGCTTGGCAGCAACGGGTACAGCTGCCTGGACGTGAACGAGTGCAGCGCTGCGGAGCTGAACGAGTGCGACGCGAACGCGGTGTGCACCAACACGGCTGGGTCGTACGCTTGCAGCTGCGCGAGCGGGTACACGGGCGACGGGTTCACGTGCGCTGACCGGGACGAGTGTGCCGGGGACAGCAACCCGTGCGACGAGAACGCGTCGTGCACCAACACGGCGGG